GTTGGGTTTTTCTCTGTATCTATGAAGCGCCTTGAGGCGACTTTTGTTGTGATTTGGCGCTATATAAATAAAATTGAATTGAATTGAATTAATTCATAAACAGTCACTAAGTGGGGCACTCCCGTTCATAAAAGCATCTTTTGACTGAACTGTCCTCAGTGTGGAAACATGGCTGTAATTCCTCACCAGTTAGCAATGAAATTAAGGTGGAACATTTAAAAAATATCGTCATTGTTTCATTTTAAATGTACTGTGCAGGCACACAGAGTACTAGCACAACTACATAATGATTTAATGTTAAAGAATTCAGTTTTAAAATGATGCGAAGCCCCAAAATATATTTTGAAAAGATACTTTAGGAAATCTGTCCCTAAAATTTTGCCAAAATTTCAGACAAAACAGTTTTCCAGAGAGAGCGAGGGAGTTTAGACGTTGAGGTCAGCTGTGCTACTTCATTTTCATAAGTACAGGTGTCACTCCAGGCACCCCAAATATTTTATTCATTTTAAGTGACAGGTGGAGAGAGGAGATTTTTGCACTCAGACACCTGGATGCCCTACTAACTCCGAATGGTAGCTAATAGAGTCCGACATGAGCTCCATTTAGCAGACGAGAGGGAAATAGTTGAAGAGAGAGAGAGAGGGAAAATGAGAGCGGTAGCTTGCAGGTGTGGAGTGAGGCTGGATTGCCACCACAGCACTGTGAAAGTCGACTGCTCGAGGGATTCTAGCAGGTCAAACAGAGAAAATTAATATGTTCTATAGTAATGTGGATAGTGTTGAAAAATCTGGATTTTCTACCTCTTTCTACCATGAAAGTAGACGGACTGCTTTTAGGTGGATGAATATAAAAGGTTTAAATTTCCCGCATGCATTAATGTGTCAGTCAGTGCTCAATTTGTGACAGACTGGCTAATTGTTTGACGCTTCTTCCCGCTTTCTGCCCCTTACTGGAATCAGCTCCAATCCCCAGGCGACCACAGAAAGCTTTAGCTGTGTAATGATTGTTTTATCATAGCAATGCGCCTCTGGAATTTTATATAATAAAATAAAGGCCTTAGAGACACCAGTTGCATTAGTAACAAAAAGATCAATGGAAAAATCCAGTTTGTGTTCCTGGATCAGTTTTGCATGGCCTCTTCTCTCTTTATTTAAGAGTGTGAGAATTTTGCGCCCACTCCAGCAAGGGGAGTAATCACAAAACCCAAAGAAGGGAAAGCAGGAAAGTCATAATGTTACTGTTTTCTGACAAATTGATATCTAGCCATGAAAGGTCTCAGCATGTTGTGGTTTTCTTGGTGGCGGTCAACAATCCTAACTAACATTATGCCAAGGACACTTGTTTTTAAATCAAAGTCTTCTCGAGGCCAAGAGCTGATTTAAAACAGACATTTCAAACACAGGTTGAATCCTCAATGAAGAGCAACAGCAACGCCGGAACAACTCTCAGGCCAAATAGTGCCAACTCTTTTTGCTGGCTCATCCATCAAACTCCGAGTGAAATGTCACTCCACAAATGTCTCCATAGAGTAGAAAAGTCCCCTTTCTCCTTTCCTTCCCCCCATTACACAGTCAAGTCCATTTTACCCGATCATTCCTGCTAACCTTTAGAAAAACTTTTTCTTTTCTCTGTGAGCCCGACAACATGGACAAAGAGCAAGTATCTCCAGTGTCCATGTATCATATATATTTTAGCACATAGAAAAGAAAGGAGAAAAACAATGTTTGGAGGTTTTAACACCCTTTAGGACACACAAAACCCCTTCTTTCAAGCTTATTTCATTTCATTTTAGGTGGGCATATGCAATACTATTTATCTCTAAACATTCCTTTTTGCTAAAGCATATAGTTAGTGCTGGATCAGGAGACTCTGAATCCTCTCTTAGTTATGCTGCAATAGGTGTAGACTGCCGGGGGGATTCCCATGATGCACTGAGTGTTTCTTCTTCATTCACCTTTCTCACTCACTATGTGTTAATAGACCACTCTGCATTGAATCATACTTGTTATGAATCTCTGTCTCTCTTCCACAGCATGTCTTTTATCCTGTCTTCCTTCTCTCACCCCAACCGGTCACAGCAGATGGCCGCCCCTCCCTGAGCCTGGTTCTGCTGGAGGTTTCTTCCTGTTAAAAGGGAGTTTTTCCTTCCCACTGTCGCCAAAGTGCTTGCTCTAGGGGGTCATATGATTGTTGGGTTTTTCTCTGTATGTATTATTGTAGGGTCTACCTTACAATATAAAGTGCCTTGAGGTGACTGTTGTTGTGATTTGGTGCTGTATAAATGAAATTGAATTAATTACTAACTCGTGCCTATGCTAGAAGTGAAGTGGTCTTTGATATCAAAGGCATGGCAGGTCCACATCCTGATGAGAGTGCTGGTTAGACAACAAAAGAAGTGAAGTGAAAGAGCATAGAATTCATTTCTCAAATGAGTTTTCAAAGTAATCATATCAAATGCAAAACATCTGCACTGAGTGAACTCAATGCCCTAAAAGAAAACGCCAAAAACACAAAACGTCTCATTGCTTTTGGCTCAGTTTGAGACGACATGTTTTGACCATAAAGGTCTGCACATAACTGTTGATCACAGTGCATTATTTTCTGTTCTGGACAATAAAACTTAATAGAAGCCATAAAAGCACACCCTGAGGACACTGATGTAAACCCTTTCTAAAGAATCTGCTTATTTAGCTCAGAATTGCATTCAATTTTATTCAATTCAGTTGACCAAATTTCTGTCTTTGGTCAACTCCTGGTGTACACTGTATACTCTTTATGTGAATGAAGAATAAATGTTACTTAGCACACAAAAAAAAACCTCACTAGAAATACTCCGTTTTCCTGAACAAGCTGGCAGGAGCCAGAAACACATTTTGGGTGGGCGGGTTGGGGAGTTCTGCCATGACTCAAAGCTGTAACTTCTTTATTACACCCGTACTGTATAATCAACAGAGTACATCCAAATGACCTGTGTATGTGAATTCACTGTAATGTTTGTCTATATACTCTCGCAGTCACAGTCCTACTATACCTGGTGGTTAGAAAAACATCTTTGATTATAAGCACTTAAATTTTCCGGCAAGTGCTGTTTTTGCGGAAAGATGATTTATTGTCCTAAAACCACAGGGTCATTTTAAAATTAGTTTCAGTTGCTTTGGTGTTATTGAAATTAAAAACAGGTGCACTAGAGGGGCAACAATGAGACAACTCCCAAAACAGGAACTGTTTTACAGGTGGAGGTCACTGAGATTTTGTCCCTAATCATTGTTTCTGGCTGTTTTTTCACAAGATTTGCATTTGGCTAGGGTCACTGTCTCTGTTGGTAGGATGAGGCAATATCTGAACCCTGCTGAGGTTGCACACGTAGTCTGTCTCCAGGGTGGCACATGGCCAGAAGGTTTGCTGTGTCTCCCAACATAGTCTCAAGAGCGTGGAGGAGATTCCAGGAGACAGAAAGTTACTCTAGGAGAGCTGGAACAGGCTTCAGAAGATCCTTAACCCCTTAGCAGGAGTGCTATCTGGTCCTTTGTTCACGGAGGAACAAAATGAGCACTACCAGTGTGACAAAATGACCTCCAGCAGGTCACTGGTGTGAAAAAAAAAGTTTTAGGAGGCCCTGTGCAGAATTGTTAGGTCTACCACTGACACCATGTACTATTCAAACACTACTCTGTTCCAGTTGATTCCTCCTGTACAACAATACCCATCCCCGTGTGGCGAGAGCATGCATGCAGTTACTGCAGGATGGGTATTAATACCACTGACTGGGATGTTTCGATCCATCCGACATTTCCAGGTTGCACTGCGGACTGTCCAAGAGGTTGGCGATACCCTGGTCACGATCTGGGAGGAGATCCTCCAGGACACCAGCATAGTCAGGCATGCATACAAGCATGTGAGGGCCAAAAAACCCCCCAAAACCAAAAAAGAATCACCTGGGATGCCATTAAACCATGTGGCATCCTTCGATTCCTAACACATTACGCAGTTTAAGTCAGTATAGACATCCAGCATGATCTGATGTGTTTCTAAGTGTTCCTTTATTTACTTTTTGGAGATGCACATTAATCCTAAGTAAAGTTTTCTAATCCTAGAGTCAAGATGTTTTAAGACATTTACTTTTAAATGAGTGAATGTGAGTGCGAATGGTTGCCTGTCTCTCTGTGTGTTAGCCCTGCGACAGACCTGTCCAGGGAGTACTACGCCTCTCACCCTATGACAGCTGGGATAGGCTCCAGCGCCCCCCGCGATCCTGAAAAGGATAAGCGGAAGCGAATGGATGGATGAAACTAGTGTTAGAAAAAGTTGCAAAGAAGAGCGAGAGTATTACATTTGATGAATACATTATGCTGCAACCTACAGTAGCTGTCACAGCCTCCACAAGTTGTCAGCCCATACAGAAAGACAAACAAACAAAGAAACAAATACAAATGAAAACAGTATTCACACTAAAGGGTTGGACAGTTTTTATAAATTTAATATATCAATATATAGAGATATTTATCAACAGCTTGATTTCATAGAAACGTGAGTGAGACCATTTTGGCATACAGTACAGATATTCAATGTAAGTACAGAAGTTGCTAAGTTGTCAACACTCCCCCCCTCAACAACCCGCCCCAGTTAACCACCCTGCACCCCCCTCAAACAGACACAGAAGACAGAAAAACAGAGTAGAAGTGTACAGGAGCACAAAACAAGGCACCAATAAATTAAAATGATTCCTCCTCCTTTTTTCCCCTAGCCCCACTTAAAAAAAACAACAACAAAAACCCCAACAACTACGCCCCCCCCCCCAAAAAAAAACCTAACAAAAGACGAATTAAATTTAAACAGAATTAAATACAGTAGAAACTCTAAAAATCCGCATTGCTGTTAAAAAGCAGGAAAGTAAAACAGAAACGAACAAATGGAAGTGAAAGTAAAATAGGAACACTTTGGCAGATTATTAAATTTTAGTTACAATCAAGTAGTAAAGAAATCCAGTGCTCGTGTGTACAAATAAATTCATATATCGTCTACACTCCTTTTACCCCAGAAGTTTATGTACATCTTTTTTCTCCGTTTTTTTTTTTGCCGCTGTTGTTGTTTTTACAGATACATTTAAAACATTATCAAAAGATTTCTGCAGTATGAAAACGTATTATTTACAAGTCAGGATTCAAAACCACTGGACTGTACCACTGGACACCCCCCTCGAGCCCCAACCCCACCACACTTTTATTTCCTCCCTTACAAAGAACGTTATTTCTTTACACAGTGCAGAAGGCTTTTTGAAAAGTTTTGTGCAACAAACAGCATAAAGAAAAAAATGGCTGAGGAATGGTTAGAGGCCCAAATGTTTTTTTTTCCTTTTCTTTTTCTTTCTTTTTTTTTTTTAATCTTTCCTTGCAGACAAAGACATATCAGCAAGATTTCTGAGAAAATGTAGGTGGACAGTTTTGCAAAAAAAAAAAAAATCTGGAGCCTTAGATTTTCTTTCAATTTCTTCATCCTGTTTGACTGTGGAAGGACCATAAAAACGTATCAAAACGTTCCCCCTGTACATATCATCATCATCATCATCCCGAGCCATGAAAAGATTTACACAAAGATCACCTTCTTTCCCGAAAGCCTTCATTTTACACAGAGTGCTCGAAAAATCTAGGCAACTGAACGCTGCCCCTTCAAGTAATCAAACATCAAGTAGATTACACATGAAACTAGAAATAGTCTGGTGAGGAGATAGAGAGGGAGAGACAGAGAAAGGAGGAGAGCAACAACTACAACTCACTTACACAGTCCAAAAAAAACCTCCCCACATAACAAAAAGAGGAGTCAGTGTATCGAGGAAAGTCACTGGGTCAACAAAAGCTAAGTGCCATCCAAGTAGAGTCACTGAGGGTTCCTTCCACAGTCCAAAACTGTAGCTCAAGGGGGAGGCCGCTTCTCCAAGCTGAGTGTGATTGTTCACCGGTTTGCTGGTTCACATTTTTCTTTCTATCTCTGGGGATTTCCTTATTATTTTTGTTGTTGTTTCAGGTTATTTCCTCCAGTGTTTTCTTTTTCTTTAATTCCTCCGCTGTGTGCCTGTCTACCCAAAGACTGAGAGCCCTTGCCAAAGGAAAGATGTTCATGGGTGAGATGAAGATGAGAGGGTTGCAAGCGAATGAGAGTGCACAGAAACAACAGCGTGGACTTTGCCCTCGAAGCTAAAATTCAACAGTGCGACAGCCAAAGAAACACTTTAAAACTCACAGTTGGAATTACATTTGATACAGTGCTCGAGGAGATGAAGTGGTGGAGCGATGTGAGAAGAGCATTGTGGTTAAAGCAACGTAAGGTCTCCGCTCAGAAAAGGAAAAGACAAGCAAAATGGAGAGCACAGATCAGGAAGACTGTATCGGGGTTATCAGGACTGTTAGTATTCACTATTTACGCTGATAACAAGCAACAACTTCCTCCCTCAGTTTAGTAACAATTTGCACAGTTTATGCACTTAAGATGTCCATTAGGATTGTTCTGAATATTTGTTTTCTCAATCAGTGAACGAGTTAAATAGAGTTAAATATCAAGGAGTTAAATATTATAAATATGCCTATAGATATGCTTTTGCTGGTGTAAACAGTATGCATTCTACATAAAATAACAACTTATATTCATTTCAATCCTGTCACCTAGAAACTACACTGAAGCAAAACACAGTCTCTAGCAACACATTTTATATGTAGTAGCTGTAGGCGTCTATACATATAAAGGGACCATATTAGTCCTTTTATATAGTTCTGATATGATATATGTAAATATTAGCTCTGGTTTCTATTTGGACTGTAGGTGAGAGCTGTTTGAGCAGCAGTCAACTAAAAGCTCTAAAACAGAAAGGAAAATAGCTCTTCTGTTGTTTTGTATGCCATCTGTTCACCTTGAACATCTGATTGCCAATTCTGGTTGGGCATGGTATATAAGCATAATGTATTCTCCTTCAAAGACAAACAAAACAAAAAGACAAAACAAGCTAGCATCTACAAGCGTCTGAACGATATAGAATTCTTAAAACCAATAGTCACAACTGCTGATTTAAATTTGATAAACTCATATCAGCTGATATGTGGTTGTTTACTCATTTACACACTGCCTGATGTTGTTTGGATCTGCTGCTTGTTACCGCCAACAGGGAAGTTGCGACGCGCCCTCTAGTGGACAAACTATGCAACATCAACCAATAAAATCGGCCTTTCAGATAACATTTTAGTATTAAGTACCATATAAATGTCATTTCTAGGTGACAGCATTGATTCTGTGTTAAAAGTAAAATAGCAAAGCGTTCACTTAAATGTAAATCACCAGAACAAATGTACCCTGTTTTCTTCCTTCAACAAAAGGTAGTGAGTTCCAGTAACTCAGAAATCCATACAACACAACAATGCCAAGACCAACTCATTTAATTAACTCATTTTTCTCAAAGATTTCAAGTTTACTAGCAAGACATTTTTAGACGTACATCAACATTTTCAATTCAGTAAACACAGTCTACAAGGAAAAAGTTCATTTTAGTGCAGTATATTTCCCCATTAAGTGTTAAAGAACTCACAGTATCGTTTATAATGTTGCACTTTGTTCTCTAAAGCAGTGATTACTAGATAAACACTGAACTAAAAAACAAATAGTGACCCAGTGCACTCTAAGCTTATCTGACCTAGAGGAAAAAAGCTGATATAGCTGACATCACACCAGTGGTTAGTCCCTTAATAGTCTTGTAAATATGGAACAACAGTGAAGCAGATGTCTAGATAGCCTATGGTCACAGTAAGCCCTCCATTGCCACTACAATTACTACCTTGAATAGTTACAGACAAAGGACCGTTCTGGGCTTCTTTCAATGTCCTTCAGAATAGACGAATGCTCTTGAGGTGACCACACAGTGGACCAGCCAATCTGTCTTCACACTGTAGCCATAATAAGTTTCCTACACCTCAATAAATAAGCAATTTATTCTCCTACCTGCACCCCCCACCTCCAGCATGGAACTCGATTAGACCTGAAGCAAACATGGACATGAAGGAAAGTGTTGGCACGCAGAGCTGACTCAGCTCAGGGAGCTGTGATTTATTTAATCTTAAATTCACAAAGATATCTTACATCCAGATTTTTTCCATCACTACCTAATCTCTCCTTTGGGAACTGGATCCTATACGCATAAAAACTCCAGTGGCTAATCTACATCATTGTTTTCAGTGTTTCATCAAATCTGTTCAATATATGTCAATTCTTAAAGGCCTAAAAAGCAGTCACTGGTGGAAACTAACAAACCAGTCTAACGTCATGCTGAGTGGAGTCCCAATCTGCCCCACTGTGCAGTGCATTACATTTTGCTTCATCTGTACAAGGTGAAGATGAAGGGAGATGGCCTCCCCCTAGCGCTCAATCCTCCTCCGTTAGATGGGTGTAGGGGGAGCGCGCTGCTGGAGAGGACTACAATTTACCTGTCTGGCTTGCTACTTGTCACACACAGTTCATACAAATCACCCACTGTGCTTCATAAACTGAGAGGAGAGAGTGCCATCCTTTCGAGGGAGGCAAGAGGAGCGACTGTCAGAATAAGGCGATGCCAACACTGGCAGAAATCCGGGAAAACAAACGACCCACCGTTCATCTTCCAAGTACAAACCTGCTCACATATGGCGGTGTAAATTCTGGCAGTCAAGCCCTACACCACCTTTCATCTTTGTTTTCCTTGCCTTTCTGTTCCTCCCTCGTGGTTATCTGAGCTTCTTACGCTGAAGCTAAGCCTTCCAAGAAATAGTGAAATCCATGAATAATAACCGTCATTAATCAACTGTTGCATGAATACATAATCTGAGACCGTACTGAGTCTAGGATGGAAGACTTTAACATTTGCATTGGGAACCTTTGTGTGTGTGTGTTATTTAGTCATATTGGATTTACTAGTCCAATATGTAGGATCTTAAATGCAGCATTGATCAGATTCATTAGGCAAGAAGACGAGTGTTTCATGTACTTATAGTTTAGACCATCCAAAACTGCCTTACAGAGTATATAATGTGTTTTAACTGTGCTTAAAACTGTCAAATTTTCAATTAGGACACTAAATGATGTCCTGAATAAGAATGCTGGCAATTTGCCTCGACTACTTGTAACAGTTCTACTATTCTGTCATCGCGGCCTCTAGTGATTCGCTGTTCCAGCACAAGATGAGCAATTATTACAATATTCATTGGCATGAATCGCAACTGATTCAATAGGCTGGAAGCTGGTTCGAAGCAAACCAAGGGAGATCAGGTCCCATTTTTCAAATCGGCGCTCAGCTCAGTCGGCCTCGGTGTGTTACTCATCTGCGCACCGCACAGAGACGGTGACAGTGACAGACATGAGAAATACAGCATCACATCCAGAAAACACACAGCTGCATTGTTAAAAAGGGGGAGTAAAGGTAGCCCCCCCACCCACCTCATCCCAAAACAAACAAACAAACAAAAAAACCCAGCTGGGACTGATGTTTATGGGGTCACTCAAAGTCAAACACCTCTGTGTTTTCTTGCTTGTCATCTCACTCTTCATTTCCTCCAGGATTCCTATACAGCAAGTGCAGCATGCACTTACATGTTTTTAAATCCGATCACTAAACAACTATTTAACATCCAATTCCCTGCATCAATTCAAAGAATATGTTCTCGCTGCTAGAATATTGACGCTGGCAGATGCAAATGAAGACTCAGAAACACATGTGGGATTCTTGCTACTCAGTGCAAACAGGAAAACAATCCCAAGTTCATTATTGACTGTATGCACACCTCTGATGGCAGAGGAGAGGGGATTACCCATAATCCTTTGCCTTTCTACCCTGCTGCTTTAAGCCTTGAGGCACTACCCTCTGGTAGCACAAACCCTCCAATTGCAAAGGAAAAAAAAAGAAAGAAAAAAAAAAGTCTCCTTTATCCCCAAAATCACCTCTAAATGTACAGACGACCCCATCAGTTTTCCTCTCCTTGGCTATATTTAGCTTTACAGTAAGTGAAAGGGCAAATCTGAGGGACTAGGTGTGAAAAATGATGACACCGCCCCTGCAACAAACCCCTTAAAAAAGGTCTCCTTACATGACAATGAAGAAATACAGCGTCCTTGCTTGCCACTGTACCGCACCATCCTTCCAAACTTGTCTTTCGTGCTGTGCACTGAGAGGTGCTGGTCACATATTTACAACAGCAAACGCAACAGAAATAAATACAGTGAAAGCACGAGGAATTTAAAATGATGCATGCCGCCTTCTCCTGCTTGCACGGCGGCCAGAAATCCATTTATTTACAAAGTGCACTGAGACAGCTGAATGAGGTTAGTATGGACAATATCATCATCAAGCAGCATTTTGAGCAGCACTGGTGCTAACAAGAGGCAGAGAGAAGAGAGGAGTGGAGCAGAGGCTACTAAACTAGTAGTAGTAGTAGCTAATAATGGTAGTAGTGTTACTCCAGTGGAGACGGTAGGAGATGGAGGTGGGATTTAACAGGTGTACATGTCATCCCTGCTCTTTAAAAACGGGGAGGCAAAATGAGGTCTCCTTTTCTTTTCTCCTCTGCGTTGTACTGGCCTCATTGTAGTGATCTAGAGGCTGTGGTGAGAGGAGGGGGCCAGGATGGGAGCGCAGGGGTGCAGGCTGCATCCCCCTCCTCCCTCAGGGATAGCCATCATCCTCCAGACTGAGTGCCACGCGCTGCAAACAGCAGATAAAAAGACCGTTACCACAGCAGGCTGGTTAAGGAGAAAGAAGTGAGATAGAACAGCGGGGAATGAAAACAGAGAGGCTCAGTGGAAAAAGAGGAGAACGGGAGACAAGATTCCAGTCTAGGTGGAACCCAGAAGAAAAATGGCAGCTTTGTTATGTGATGCCCTCTCACTATTCTGCCTCCTCTCCCCGACCTTCGTCTTCGTTTCTTTCCAATTCAGCCCCCCCAACGCCTTGTTTGTCCCCTCCTTCCCTGGCTGCTCGTAGCGAGGAATGCAGGCTGCCTGCCTACGGTTGGGAAAGTCTGGCCCACATAATGCAAGCCTGATTCCTCTGGCTGCCCGAGCTGCCACACTGAGACAAAGGGCAAGAAAAAGTTAGGAAGAGAAAAGAAGAGGATGAAAACCACTAAAGAGATAAAAGGCAATACATAAGATTTGTACAAATGTTTGTAATAAAACTGGGAAAACGAGAGAGAAGGAGTAAAGTCCCCTCTCTCGTTCGGCGAGGGTAGGTTGTTACTTCGACCTTGAATCTTAATATGACTCAGTCGTGCACCTGTTTCAGTGTCTGTCTGAGCGTGCTTCCCGCCTGTCATCATGCCAGTGATACCCAGAATTCTTTGCCTTCTTTCTCTCCGGGGTGACACAAAGAAATCTGTGTTACCATGCCAACAGATCAAAGCGCTAGACTCCCGTCTCACCCTCCCTCCTTTATCCTTTTTGGCTGCCCTTCGCCGCTTGCTCTCTGACACCCAAAACAAGAAGCACATTCGGTAAATGTCATAAACTCCTAATGACGCACAGCCTGGATATAAGGGCATTTTACTTTACTGCTACGTGTTGCAGCTGCCGCTGTGTCCAGGGTTTGTAGAAAATGCAGCTTCCAGTGACTTTTAAAACTGCATATACATCAGTGGGAAGTCATCAGGGTAATCCTGAGATTGTGTTGCTGAGATTTATGGTTTCTGCAAGATAAATTGTATTTCGAGAGAGTCCTTCATCCTGATTTGTGCTCCCTTTTTCAAATTTTGGGTGACCTCAAAACAAAATCGCATTAGTTCAATGCTATGATGCAACTATCTACTCTACATGTCCAATTTATTCGTGAGCAGTGGCTATAGAGCGACTCCTCTTTCACCTCTTTTTTTGCATCTCATCTGCACTAATCATGATTTCTTGGCTGCTGAACGTTTCTGAAGCAAAGGAATAATGCTTTGCCTGTGCACAAGGGTTTTGTCAGGAAATGGGAATCACTCACTTCAACAACCAAAAACACTAACACGATGCACAAATAAATGGGATGGCGGGTCGGCAGCAGGGATGTATCGCATGAATATGGTCGCTGAAGGTGAACGAATGTGTCGAGGGTTTACGTGTACACGTGACAGGTGTGTTCGGTAATTACTTCAAAAACAAAATGATATGTGAACGTGTGCGAGCCTGTTCTTTCTTTTCACCAGGCTGACATGTACAAGAAAACGGGCTTTTCCAAACCCTCGTGCCAACTCCCAATATTTCACACCTCTTCCTTTCCTCCGCAGTACCTCTCACTTAGCGTTCGAGAGCATCGGCGCCCCCGAATACCAGTGAGAGTTGTTGTCTGTGACGCCGCCCCCTAGAGGAAGCGCTATGAATGGCTGACTGTGGCTGCCACTCACTGCTGGGTAGACGTGACCGATGGACTCGCTCTGACGCCCGATGTGGATCTCGTCGTCGTCATCCTCTGTGGTTTTGCGGTACACCGGGTTGTCGAAGTTCATGCTCTTGGTGTTCTTGCGCCGCCAGTTGCGCCAGACCAGGTATCCGCCGGTGCAGAGCAATCCGATGACCACTGTGGCAAGGATAGGGACTGCATGTGTTTAACACACACACAACAACAACACACGGCGGGAGCGTTAACACAGCCCGGGGGACACAGAGCGGCGCTTTAAGCACTCACGCACAAACACACATTGCACTGTTCACCTGAAGGCTCATTATTTTTCAGTTTTGGTTTTTGAAAGATGCAAAATGTTGTTGTTTGCATAACAGCTTCTCAAACATTTTAAAAACAAAACAAACAACAAAAAAAACATGGAAATATTCACCTTCTGGAAAACGTCCAGAGGTGCACAAGGAGATGAACCTGAAGGGGAAGCAGTCCACTTTTCTGAAACTGTTAGAAAAACTGGTGGCACTTTATGCATCTGTTTCTATAAATTTAGTGGGCTGAGCTTTTTATGTTTCATCCCCCGTATGTCTTCTGTATCTGCATTTAAAAAAATCTAAGCATTTATTAGAGAAACAATGAGCCTTCAAAGAGGAACTAATCATTCATTGCATTATATCCCCCCCTCAGTGTCACGAAACCATCAAAAACATGCACACACAATATGCAACATAAATGTCTGCATGGTACACATGCACATAAACATCATTCCAACACACACACACACACACACACACACACACACACACACGTGGGCACACTGAACCAAACTGGCATTTTATATTAAATCTGTAACCATTCAAGCCCTGAAGACACTGATTACGACCTTGTTTTTGAATAAAAACCCCACAAGGTCGCTTAATTGTCATCAGCATATAATCCTGGTGCGCATTGCTCAAAAAACTGATTTTTGGGCAATGATTTATAATTTTGTATTTTATTGCACCAAAAAATTAATATCTGGAGTGTCCGGATGGGGTTATGGGAGGAGAATGAGAAGAGGGTAAGAGGAGGAGAGAAGACGGGGAAAGGGTTGGGATTTGGAGGATTTGAGATAAGCGCCGTCTCTCCTCTTTCATTACCATATCAGCATAACTGCCCTGCAAGGACCTGTGTGTGTGTGTGTGTGTGTACAGTGCATACTTTAGAGTTTTTGTATAATGAAAGCGCAAACACCCAAACCAGAGGTAAGTCAAGGAGGTTTGGATATGTGTGCCTGCATTCATAGATGTGTTTTCCTACGCTACAGTACGCCCGTCTAATTGCGACTTTATTTGACAGACACTTGAGATTCCTTCGTGGCTGGGTTGGAAACCCCAGCTCCTCCTTTGTTCTTCTCTAAATGCTCAATGGTTTAAAGGGAAAAAAACAAAATCCAATGAGCGAGTGGCAAAACAGCCTGTCTTTGGCTAAAACTGATAATCATTGCTGGGCTGCTTCCCCTTAAGGAGCTGTGGGTGGGTGCAGTGCATTACTGGGTATGAGCGGAGAGCTGGGGTGCAGAAATCCAGCCCGTGTGGACCTCCAACATTAACGTTTCAAAGCTGCTAAAAAAAAAAAGATTTGTGGCCGCAATAAATGGGAGAAGGACAAAAAAAGGATAAAGCGGAAAGGGTTAATAGTCTCTGGGGTTATTTTAATGAGCTGATATTTCAACTATAGAGACTGAAAAGAGAAAAAAAAAGAGCTTTACAATCTTTTAGCGCTCCCCTGAATTATCAAACTTGTTAATATTAAGGATGAAAGAGATCTCAATTAGTGGCATATGCTGCCACTATAAGGCCATTTGCACATTCAGCTGATTTCCCAGTCAAGTTGGGCATGAAAGTATGAAATATTTCCATAAAATTAGATTTTCATTTTAATCAGAGCTAATAGAGTAGATTAACTTTTCTAAGCCGGTTTGATTGAAAGAACTACAATTGCCTTTTTCTGCCTTTGTAGAGGCGGCTTGATGGTTTTCTTTTTATGTTTCATTGCCTAAACAGACAACAGCATTATGTCTGAGGTCATTAGCTTCCTGCTCCAGGCCAAAAACACAATTTCATGGCATTAATCCACTTTTCTCTCCCCTCGTCTCCCGTAAAGCGGTATAACCCACTCTTAGTCCGCTCGGTCACAGAAATAGGTCAGAACGTTGGCCTGATTGATACGATCTGATCAGAGCGGTGAACACGAGCAAAATGTACTAACAGCTGGTCGTGTGATGACAAAACCTGAATTGAATTTCACATTTGCTCAAATGTTATTAATAATGACATAATGTGCATATTACAGCGGCCTGGCCATTTACTGACAGAGGGGCTCACTTCCATGTAATGGCTTTTTCTAGCCATAGGCCACGAGGATATTGCTGGATAATACCATACCTCAGTACATTTTCTCAATAGATGCGATAAAATTTTATGCCCGAATCTCACTATTGAACCAGATATCATGTGTTGAATTGTTATTATTTTAATGAGAATGTTTTAGATTTAATCAGCCAGGTGGAAACGCAAACATCCTAAAACCCAGGCACACGCACACAAACACATAACCTCATACTCACACGCACACACATTAAAAACAAAACGCACGCAACATGCAGTTAAGCAGACTTGAAGGAGCGAGGAGGGAGAGGCAGGCAAGCAGAAAGCAAAGACAACACAGTGAGGGAGTCAACAGTACTCACCGATAGGAATGACTATCCCCAGAACAGCTACTGTGATGTTGTTACCTATGAGGTAGTGATCACTCGCAGCTGAGACGAACAGAAAGATGGAAGACAGAGAGAGAAAAAAAAAAGAATCAAACCAAGAAAAAGTTTTGCTTCAACCCCCACCAAGTGCCCTCCTAGAGAGAAAGAGAGATTTTAACACGGGAGCATCAAAAGAAAGGCTGGAAAAGGATATTTGCATAATATAAGGGCAGAGAATCCATCTGATTTCAGTTTGGACTGCTGACTTTGTCTTCCCCAGCAGCATGTGTAAATGAAAAAGCCAATGAATCACACAGGGATGGCATAAAAATGCAGTGAGATGCCTTTTAATACACGAAGGAACAAATGCGTTTCCAGAAACCAATGCATCAGAATTTGTATGAATATAAGCAACGAGCACATGATCTCGCATTACTCTATTCTTTTTCTACCAGACGTTTCAAAACTGTGTCACAATGCAATGCAGAAGACATTTATTCTGGACATGCTTTGCATCCTCACTCCCCTTCAGCTCTCACCCCAACAGGTCGGCGGGGGAGCTTTTGACATTAATCTCGCCCCCAACCCTCGTATTAGCAGCAGGCTAGCTGTTAGCCAAAAGTGTGATCAGATGGCTATAATGAAGTCTGGTAAGGAAGATTAACACAAGAGAGCACAGTGCTGGCCCTGCATACTGATTGGCTCATTCGACAAAGTGACTGTTCCAGTTCTATGGCTGGCAAAAAGAGACAGATGGCATGTGATGGATGTGACAGACAATGCAGACGCACATTATTCTTCATAAATGAAATCATATAGTGAATGAAATGCAGATAAATGCACACACGTGCGCACACACGAGAGCCACAAAAGGTGAAGCGACTTCAGACAGCGAATTCTGAGTCAGCAGAAGCGAATTTTGGCTTTTCTTAAGTGTGAGTGACGTCCAATGGGTCCTACAGTAAGACTCAAAAAGGCAGATTAACTGAATCTCATTAAAGAAACTGCTCTGGAAGAAGGCTGTTCTGGAAAGGGAGGGCACTGAGAAAGGGAGAAGAAGAAGAAAAGGGGACAAAAGTCTCAATTTCATGAGGGTCATTCTTACTGGAGGGATTTTAATATCAAAACGTTTACTGCCACTTATTATTTAAATATAACTGTCAGGGTTAGAATGCTATATCCAGTACAATTAACAATGATTAATAAAACAGTATATCTTCATCATCATCATTTATTTATTTATATAGCACTTTAAAAACACACCTGGTAGACCAAAGTGCTGTACAATACTAATATGGACATAGTAATAAAACCAGACAACCAAAAAAAAAAAAAAAAAATCAGTTACCCACAGAGTTAAAAGCCAGGGAATAAAAATAGGTTTTTAATAAAGACTTAAAAACTGGCACTGATGTAGCCTGTCTAATATGGAGAGGAAGGTTATTCCAAAGCATCGGCGCAGCAACAGAGAACGCTCGGTCTCCTCTAAGTTTCAGCCGTGACTTTGGGACCGAAAGGAGCAACTGCTCAGCTGACCGAAGGGAACGAGTGGGGACGTGGGGCTTCAACAAGTCAGACAAATAAACAGGTGCCAGACCATTTAGAGATTTAAAAACCAATAAAAGGACTTTAAAACGGATCCTGAATTCAATTGGAAGCCAGTGTAAAGAGGCCAAAATCGGAGTGATGTGATCAAATTCTCTTCTGCCAGTTAAAAATTGTGCCGCAGCATTTTGCACTAATTGCAAGTGTGACAAAGTGCCCTGCCCAGTACATCTTAAATATACTGCTCAAAAATATGCTTTAAAGCACATCAGAGCTCAATGGGGGGGGGAAGCTGAATATCTGTACTGATATGGACTGGGTAATGTGTTAGGAATGAGAAGATGCCACATCAAAATGAAAATGATCAACCCACAGACGGCTGAATTCGAAGAGACCCTGAAAATCAAAGTGAAAAATGATGCAGCATGATAGTCTGTTTTGTGGAAATTTCATTGCAGCATCTCAAAATGGTATGTGCTTGTACACATCCCTGAGCAAGATGGGGCACACTCGTAACAGGACGACGGATGGTGTCCTGGGAGATCTGAACCAGGGCTTCACTGAACTCCTGGACAGTCTGAGGTGTGACCATACAGGATCGGATGAACCAAAACATAACATCCCAGAGGTCTTTTAGCGGATTTGGAACTGCCTGCACACTTTTATCACATGAGGTCAGGCATTGTTGCACACCAGAAGGAACCCAGGAACAAGTGCACCAGTGTAGGGTCTGACACTGGATCCAAGGATTTCATCCTGGGAGCTAATAGCAGTCAGGGTGCCATTGCCTAGCCTGTAGAGGTCTGTGCCCCCCAGACCATCACTGACTCGCCACCAAACCTGTCATGCTGGACGATGTTACGGGCAGCATCATGGCTTCTACTTCTACTCTTTCGTATCTGTCACACGTCTGTTTTTTTTTTCCCCCCCCGAAATCTTGAATTTAATTTTCTTTAATGTCACTGAAAAATTACTACCGATATCAAAAGAAAACATTGGTTACCAGCTGTGTTTAATCTTTGCCCTCCCCAATCAGACTCCTGGTTCTCCCTCGCCCCACCATGCCCTCCCTCCCTCCCCCCAGCAGCGCACATGTGTAACAGCTGATGCCGGCAAACTTGACAGTGTGCACCGAGTTGAAAATTATAACACATGGCCCGTGGGTTTGGAGACTCGTCTCGTTCATGCCCCATTTTTCTCATCCGTGTCTGCTCCACCTCTCATCTGGAGCACTTGTGGTGTGCTGAGGAGGGCTGACAACTTCAGAGACCGGAAGAAACGTGCCTCTCGCCTCTTAGTAACTCTGAAGTACCGCGACCCCTAAAGTAATACAGCAGGCAACCTCTTTAATTCCCAGAAAATCACTTTCTCTCCCGCCTCTTTTTCCATCCCGTCGTTTCATATCCATGTAAATGCCGCCTTTCCTCCCAACAGTGTGTCATCTACAACTCCCATCCTCCCCGTTAAAGTGCTGGACTGTCATGTTCTTTTTCGCTCTCTGTTCACTCTCCGTTCTCTGTGGCCCCTTTACTGTCTCACACTGCACGTTTTTGTCTTTTTCATTTAACATTCCTTCCTTTTACTCCTTGCTCCGTTTCTCATTCATTTCCCTGTCCTCCAACTCCCACTTAAAACTTTCATCATCTTTCCCTGCTTCTCTCCATCTGTACATCTTTTTTTCATCCTCAACACCTGCTCTTTTAATTCTTTTTTTCTCTACTCTAAATTATTTGTTAGTATGACATAAAGATATACAAGTATTACAATAAGTGTTTTAGTGTTAATCTTCCTTTTAGGGGATTTAAATAGTGCACAGGCCCATTATCTGACATAAATATATAGTCATCTAAAGAGTCAGTATTAAAAAGGCAACCTTTTTCATTTTCTTAGAAACAAAAGACATAATAAAAAGCTGCCTCGGCAGGTTGACTGTCTCAATTTAATATCGCCATGCAGTAAAAAAGCTAAGAAGACTTTCAAAACAACTGCTGGAAAATACTGATCTCTGAAAACAAGCACACACACAACTTGGTGGCTTCATCAATTTTGCTGCGTGGCGCTATCAAGGATTCTCGTCCGCTTCCAAGTACAATTTAAGTCTTAGCGTGGCTTTGTAAACCATTGTTACGGCTGTTAGTCTGCTGTCACTGTTTGTCTGGGCTGCAAAGTGGTATTTTTCTTGCAAGCCAGTGAAGCGTGATTGGCGCGAGAGTGAAGAACACTGCCAGTTATAGAAAGAGAGCGAGCGAGAGCTAAAGAGAGAAGGGGAGAGAGGTACGGAGGGAGAGACCAAGACAGAGATAAAGACAAAGAGAGTAAGAGAGAGGCTGTCAGAAAGTGAGGATGAGTGATGAGTAGTTTTATGCGAGAATGGAGGGGACTGTCATTTCTTAGCTCTGACACTTCTGTTAAGACGCTGGTCGCGAGGGATCAACAGCAAGCAGACCGAGACATTGTGCGGGCCTGTGGAGCGTGTGGAGACATAGTGCATAGTGTGGAGCGTTCGGACGGGTGTGTGAGCAGATGAGAAAAGGAATAGAGGAGGAGGTCGTAGGGCCAAAGTGGAGGAGAGGAGAAGCTAGAGAAAGGAGGGATAAAAGTATTGGTTTTTAGCTTCCTGCTGATTTAATGACGGGTGGTAACAGCAGTGATGGTAGCAGAGCAGAAGAAAACACGCTGAACACTCGCTTTACACACATCCACATTCCTGTCATCATGTCACTTACCTCTGTGGGAGAGGTTGGCATTGCTCTCTTTCTGAATGCTGTTGGGAGCCACGGCAGCCAATAAGGGTGTGTGCGTGGACGTGGACTTCTGACTAGTGCTGCTCAAACTGGTCGTCTCTGTACTGGTAGCGGCGGGAGTCCGAGGGTGCTCTGTGATTCTGCCGCTCCTGGTGGTCTGAGGAGGGGCTGGTGTTGTAGTCTTGGCTGTGGGTGGTAATGTGGTAGTAGCAGAGGTGGTGCTGGTGGTGGTGGTAGAGGGCGTTGTGGTCGTGGCAACGGTTGTGGGAGTTGTTGTTGTTGTGCTTGTTGTGGTGGTCGTCGTGGAAGTTGTGGTTGTGGTGGGGGCAGCTGTCGTGGTTGTTCGCGGTCGAACTGCGCAACAGAAAAACAACCAGTAGGATTTGAGATTTCACTGCAGACTGCTCGGCTGTTGCAGCCGTTTCCACTTGCTCTGCATCAATATTCAGCATACGACTGCAGTCAACAGCAATGCCTCCATTGTCTTATAAGATGAGATCTATAATCTCTTCTGAGGGTTCTGGGTCTACCATGGGGTCTCCTACCAGTTGGAGCGCCTGCAAATCCTCCAAAAGGAGGCATCCATGAGGCATCCTAAATAGATGCTCAGCTGGTGTGTTTGATACGCAGGAGCAGCGGCTCTACTCTAAGGTCCCTCCAGATGTCCAAGCTCCTCAGTGTCTCATCTCTAAAGCTGAGCCCAACCACCTTATAGAGGAAACTCATTTTAGCTGCTTGTATTCATGATCTTACTCAGATTTTATGACCATAATTTCATAATTATTTATTTATAGGCTTTGAACTGAAGTCTGTAGATCTTACATCACACCACAGGTTGGGATCGACACATAGATGGATCAGTAAATGAAAAGCTTCACCTTTCAGCTTTTCCCGTGCACAACAGCAGGTATAACGCCTGTGTTACTGCTAATCAGAAGTGTGACACTTTAAAGTCCTGTACAGCACCACATAGGTACCGTGACAGGTACTGTGATATTTCTATGTACACACTGTGCTAAAGTGCATTCACACATTCACAAGTAACAAGTTGCCAGATGGATAAGTTGCACAAGTGCATAATAAGCAGTATTTAGTGCAAGCGTTGCAGTCAGTTGTTGCAAACATCATATCACATCACAAGAAATGATCTGAGAGAACACTACGTTGTTAAAGCAGATGTACTACACCAGTACGTTTGGTTCATAGTGTACTACATGTACTAAAAGAAGTATTCAAGTCAGGGATTTTAGCTGAAGCTAAATTGCACCACATGTCACCCCAGGCTCTTCCTCTGATCACTGTTTTTTTTTTGGGTGTATCAGATTTACACAAATCCCAGTGCACACACTGCTGCTGATATAACATTCGGTTTTGTGTTTTCTAAACATTATTTTTAATATAAGTGATATGCGTTTCTTTGTGGTTGTAAAACTGAAATTTTGATCCAATACAGTCACAATTAAACCAGTGAGTTTTTCCACCAGAAATGTTTGTGTTACAGTAAGAATCCAAAAAGCTTTGGTACAAATGCACTCACTGCCCCTGCACCTACTCCCAGCCGCTCCCACAGGGATTCTGTGAAATATTGCCTCAATACATCTTCATCATCTCTTTCCCCCCTGTTTCTCTGTGTCAGCTCCCCCTATCTCACCTATATAGACATTAGGTGTAGGTCTAGTAAAAATAGCAACATTACAAATGTAGTGACTCTATAAGGGCAGGGGGACAAGCTGACTGATGAAATAAGGTCAGCAAAATAAGCGAGGTAGGTTAGAAGTGCAGGGAAGAGTCCCTGACCTAGTTCCCAAGATAGTTTTACACAACACTTAAGGTTCAGATTCTCTGAAGGATCCAGGGCACTTTTAGCTTTGTAAACATTGTACTGTTAAATTGCAGACATTGAAAAATACTGTGTTTGGAGTATCCAAAGTATTCTGACTTAAAACAAATAGAAACAGTATAAACAGAAACGCTTTATATTTAGAATTTTAAATATTTGTGCTTAAATATGATCTAAAAGATGATCAGACTTTAACACTAGTCACACAGACGAACATAACTCAAATAAATAAATGAGACAAAAATATTCTTGGTAATTTAATCCAGTATTACATGGCTTGCATGTTTGTGGGTTTATTCAAATGAACTTCAGGTCTTTCCAAAATATTTCTGTCAGATTAAGTTTGACTTAGAAACAAGCTCGTTCCAAATAATTTTACTTATACATAGAATGAGTTGTGTGCTTCGTTCTTGCAGCCTTGCTGTGCACCACTGCTGTTCTATGTTATACTGATGGAGTAGCTGAGAAGTTAGCCTGGATTCTTTGTGCTCATAAAAGAATTTAGGAACCGGAGAAAATTCAGGCCTTACTATTGGACTGATCACTGTTAGCCAACGACCCCTGAGAATGGCAACAATGCTCCTGAATTTCACTGTGATCCTAGCAGCGTGAATCTCATGTGACATTTATCCGCACGAATCATTCATTCAGGTGTGCCTGTGGAATGTAGACTTACTGATGGCGCAGCGTCTCATGTCTGGTCCTAGCTCCATGCCGTCAGGACAGGCGCAGGTGTACTTGGGGGAGTGGTCTGTGATCTGAGGCGCCTTCAGGCAGAGGTACTCGCAGCCACCATTAGGCAGTGTGCCCATATTACAGGTATCAGGACCTTTGGGAACACAGGCAGAAATGTAAAAATATTAAAAAAGACTTTTGGCAACACATTTATCTCTTGGAAAACAATAAAATCCCAAATGTTTTATTAACAAGCTGTACTGGAAAAGGAAAAAAAAACTTGCACAAAGCCCAAATCTCAGCAGCCCAAATTTAATTCAAATTAGAACAAAGAATATATATGAAAGGTTTAAAATTACAGAATGTACAATTGTAACAAAAAAATAAGGCCACTTTGAATTTGATGGCAATAACTAGTCTTAAAAAAAGTTGGGACACGGGTAAGAAAAGGCTGCAAAAGTAAGTGCTAATGAAAAAGAAACAGCTGGAGAAACATTTTGCAACTAATTATGTTAACTGGAAACATGTCAGTAACACGACTGGGGATAATCATCTTATATTATATCATCTCGCAGATGCTGAGGTTCATCAATCTGCAGAAAAAACACATGAAAAACTGGATGAACCAAAGAAAAAGAAAAACCAGCATCAAATTTGTAGGCGTCGGTATCTCATCAGTAAAAAGTTTCTGCTGCCATCAAACTATTAACTAGTTTGATGCTAGATTTAGAAATCTAATCTTTATTCCACACACTTCCTCTTGCTGACTTTAGAGATGCGTAGGTGAATGCAGGAGAGTCTCAACTGCTTTTAATCTCTGTAACCCAAATAAAAAATTTACATGTAGTTTTTTAAGCATAGTTGCAGACTCATGGAAAAACACTGCAGTTTTGTGTCATGTGGGGAAGCGCGAGAATTAGGTCAGGTCGCAATCTTTCCTGATTTCTTATGTAGCTTTGGAGAGCAGCACGCCATCAGCTGTCAGGAAAAGCAGCAATATCACTTGCTACACAGAGTGAGATTTTAATAAGCTGGGAATACATTTATACTTGATGTACAGTATCTCAGCATAATGACTATGTAATGAGAACAGCTGTCTAAGTTCTCAAAGCTCCAAATGTGGTAAAAGGTTTGGAAGGAGTCATCAAACTGGGGAGGATGGGAAAAAAAAGGTTAAGGAAGAGTGTAGGAAGGAAAGAAGAAAACAGAGGAGGAGAGAGAGGGAGGCAACAGAAAAGTGAACGAAAATGATGAGGATGAGGATGAAGAAGGAAAAAAAGAAGGGCCGAGATGATAACAACAACAAAATTATGTTGTTTTTAAGCCATAAAAGCATCACTTTCTCCTCCTGCGCTGCCTCTCTTTGGTCTCCAACTAAGAAGAGTGAACTTAGGTTTCAAAGACCCACTGAGCGCACACAAAATTAATAATAAAACACACACAACTTGGGAAGGATCGGACGAAAGCCTCTTTTAAGGAAGTGTGTCGATAAACATGAAAGACATCTGAGCGTCTCGAATTATGTGGAGACGCGCAGTACTGTACCAAACCACACTTACAGATAACATTCCTCACTGGGGTTTTCCTTCGGTGTAGTACACTAACAAATAAGAAATGATACAAAATGCAAGAGGAACAAAGACAAATCGGTAAACAACAGGGCAGAGAGGAGTCTGAACTCACCAAGCGTTGCAGTCGAGGTCACATTTTATCAAATACTTTGCTTATCAATGCTACTCGGTACACCTTCACTTAGCCTTGCAGTGTTTTGTCTTGCTTTTGTTGGCATTTGGGAGAAAACATTTTCCAATTCTGTGATTTCTTTTTTTTAACCAGGACTCTTGATTTATTAATGAGGGAATGCAATTAGCTGCCTACTGGCGCACAGACAAGATTGCTTCTGAGCGCTCAGTGAGTGAGGAGAGAAAACAAAGCATGAAAACACTCGCACAAACACATTTCTGGCACGCAGTGTCAAACACACCCAGGTATTCACAAGCAGAGGTGTTGACAGGCACACACGCGTGCGTGCAGTCACACACATCAACAGTGCAAAAAAAAAAAAAAAGACAAACACATCGTTTTGACGTGCCCGTCACATCCACCGGTCTAATCACACTCATCAGATTATCTGTTTATTGTTTCAGACCGTTTCACTAAGTGGATCCTCGTGTCTACGTGCTGATAATGCAAGGCTTTGTACTCAGGAAGGAGGTTAGATTTTGTGTATCCTGTGTGCACATACGCCCCAAAATCCTGCTCATTAAACCGAACAAGATCCTGCACGCTAACGAGTGGCAAACAGCACCTAGACAGAGACGGGGCAGTATGACAGACTGAAAACGAAACGGACATTTTGACTTATTTGAGAAGGTAATCTGGGACAGCCCCACTTAGATCACCTGTGCTAAGCTTCTACGCGTTTCTTCTTCTTACCCTTGGGCTGCCTCTGTTCATGAAACACCACCAGGTCCAGGGGGTTGTTAAGGTCCTCTGCGACCTTGGCCACATCGTGTCCCGTCAGTCGGTTGGCGCTGTATATCGCTTCATCTTCCAAGTCTGTCCAATACACACGATCCTGGGTTAAAATAAAGGAAAGTCAGCTTGAGAAATACACAAATAAATAAAAAGCCCTAAACCAGCCTTGATGATTAACGATCAACCTATTTAAAAAAAAGAATAAATGAAAGATAACTCAGCTAATGCCACAGATACTGTTATGAAGCCACATGCATGTTGCAGATCCAGAACTGCTTGCTCTGTGCCACTTGAGATCGGACAATTTCCTAATCAAATGGCAGTGATGACGATATATATTTCATATTTCAGTAACAGAACACTTACAAAAATGTTTTCTCTAAAGAGAGCGTCATTCTAGGGTTTTATAAAGCTGTTGTTGCTCATCATTTTCAGAGTCCAGTGATTCTGTAATTCAGAACTGTGAGACCTCAACTCTGGAGCAACCATGCTGCAAATGAGCATAATCTGCATACAACTTTAGAATAAATGGCTTTTCATAAACACCATTTGTCTCTGCTTAGAAGCTGTGCACTGATATTCATTGTAGTCACTGTTAATTTAAAAAAAAAAAGGAAGAAAAAAAGCCAGTCTGCTGCAAAGAAATGTCCTCATCCCAACAATGGCTATTTGATTAAATTTACGATTACATCTGAGGATGTGTTGTGGTTTACTTGAATAGAGAGGTGTTTTATATCCAAGGTAGCTGGTTAATTTTTCAAAAATGCAATAAAAAAACCCCAAAACATGCCATTCAGCCCCCATTCTACCATCTTTATCCTCCAGCACTCCAGGTATTTAAGATTATAGCCAGTCTCTCTCTTCTCTGGTAAAAATAATCAGCCCCAAATAAACTTAAAAACAGAGTCACATTACTCCAATTTGCCAGAGAAGAAAGCCCAGGTGGCACTCTTTGCTAATTTCTATTTTTAACCACCCTAATTATAACAGCTACTTAACAAATGCAAGGACACAGAGGAGGCGTGGCATCTCTTGGAGACGGTTTAGTTAAAATAAGCCACCTACTCTGTGCTCGGTGGGTGAAAGGGGGAGCAGTGTTTACTTTAAAAAAAACCAAAAAACAGTAAAAACACCGTTTTAAGTCTGTAAGGAAGTTGCATGCTTGATAAGAAAAAAACAGCCCCGGTGTTTTATTGGAAAAACGTCTGTACCTTTGACTCTCTGTTTAAGCTTTGTGCCAAAGCAGAAGGTAGTGACTGCTTTGGCGGAGCGTACGGTGTCTTTGTAGTCCTAGCTCAGCTTCCTTCTCAATTTCCCTTCCGCTCTTTCACACCTGCTCATTATTCTCTTTAATGATACTACACGATATAACCGCACAAGTGCTCACGGCACTTGGTTTCCACAGCAACCCCAGACGGCTTTGTCTTTGCGAGCACACATCAATTAAGAAAAAAACAGAAAAATGCAGCAAATGACTGCACGAGAAAACACAGACAGGCTGATATCATGGAAAGCTCGATGAAACAACGAAGAGACGATTTAGTAGGTGAGTGTGAGACGGAGAGACCAATCAGGAAGAGTGTCTGCAGGTTTTTTCGTCGTTACAGGGAGGATGTATTTTTATCATCTTTTTAAAGGCAAAGACCTGCAAGACTTGTATGGTGTGCGGGTATGTGTGTGTCCGTGTGTGTCAGTGTGTGGTGCTTAGTCACAGCAGCCATCCATGCTTTTTGTGCCGTATTATCAGTAGACTTGACCTCTCTCTCACCTTCCCCCTTTCCCCCCATCTTTCAGTGAGCTCTCTATCACTCAATCTCTCCCTCACTTAGGTTCTGATAACCTTTACTCATATGACAGAAGTTCTGAAACAATGAAAGACAAATATCAGCCACGCTGATAAAACACTGCTCAAATCTATTATTCCATCTCTTCTTTTTGCTTCTCTCTGTCTTGATTTCCACCTCAGCAGTCAGTCTCTGACATTGTTTTCCCCTTTTTACTTTCTCCACTGTCAATCTTTCCGCGTGCCGCTTGTGACCTTGAAGCTTCAAACAGCAGCACAAAAGCTGAGAAGGGCAGTGCTCTTCAATTGTAGGATCAAGGTACATCTTTTATGTTTTGAAGGATAGGCCAGAAGTTATACACAAAGCGCACGCAGACTTGCTCCCATGAACACATGGCGCCACGTCACATCAGATGGAGCTGCAACTCGGGGGGAGTGAGAGCACGTCTAAATTGATATGGAGCCATTTTTAAGTCGAGGGAAAGCAGCCCTTTATGATTTCGCTGCGATTCTATCCCAGAGGAATATGCGTCGGGGCTGTCTGACACATCTGTCTGATGTGCTTCAGGTGCCTACTGGATACCTGGATGTTATGCATGAAAACTACAAATGAAAGCTCAAACAAAGCCAACCCACTCGCCTGTTGAGGATTTGATTTGATTTTTTTTTTATGGGTTTGATCTGTATTCTTTGGCATAATTAGCCAACTTCTGAAATAATAATGTGGGGGCTTTTTCGGTAAATCGTTTAATCTCCAATAAGCTGCAAAAGAGAATTTTAATCTCTCTCATGTGCACGTTACAATGTGTCTCTAGTTATGTGAGCTGACTAGTTTTCTTATTTGGGCTGTAGATGTGGACAGAGAGAGCCCGACGGACGTCTTTGTCAGGTTTTTTGAAAATAAAGCTTTGATCACATGTCATTTGACTGCCCCTGTTTTCACATAGAGCCTTTAAAATTTTAATCTTTACATATTACTCCAGTTTTTATTTCTTTCAACCACCACTTCTCTTCTCAAACCCATCCCACCTTCTCTTCTATCTCCTTCCTGTCAAGAGCTTGAAAAGAGACATTACTCTCTGCAAGCTTCTGCGATCTACATCTCCTCGGGGCTTGGCATGTAGGCAGGTCGGCACTAACTGGTAGAGTTTACATGCGTGTGTCTGTTCAGGGTTTGATACCGAGGCCCTGCATCTTTCTCTGCAGTGCTGAAAACCCGTTCGTGCATCAGCATCAAAACGAAGCCTGCAGATGACACGCTCGAGTGTAATGACTTGTAGCGATCACTGTATCGCTCAGGAATATGAGGAGCTGGAATAAACCGTACGCCGCACATGAGTTGACAACTCATATCTCACATGCTCAGAAGAGCAGCTATATGGACGTGCATGTGAAAGAAATGGATGCTTAAGAGCTGTGGGCTTGTGGTTTTTTATGCTTGTGCATATTCAAATGTGGCTAAATGTCAGAAACATTTTCTCTGCATGCGAGAAAACATGTGAGGATGACTGATTTGGGGTTACACAGTCCCCACAACAATTCCCGTTCACAATAAGTTTCTACAGTTTTCACAAAGTTTTACATGTGATCCCTCAGGTCTTATTATTGTGGATTTGTCTTCACTGAAACTAACCGAACAGTGTATGAGCTAAATGTGAACATTTTACAGTTACTTTGTTTTCAACTAAAGATTAGGAACAGTTAAATTAACGTTTGCTTAATTTATACTATTTAAGAATCAACTGCAACACAAGTAAGTGCACTCTTTGTTAGCGTGGCTCCAATATTTGATTCACCAGTCCACTTTCTTCCACAACAGGGACAGACACTATGGGCAGAGAACAGCTACAGGTAGATCGTGCAAACTCCACACAGAAAGGCCTCAGCCTAGATTTAAACCCAAGACCAACTAAAGCGAGGCGACAGTCCTACCACAGCAACACCGTGCAACTCGTGCATGCTGTAATATTTTTTACTCTCTCTGCTTTTACCTTTAATAAAACTCAAACTTCCTGGGCATGGATGACACCAGTTTTAAATATTTTGCATGAATGACTCTGTGGAAATGTGTTCTGCCATTCTCGACGCAGACGATCCTTTGCAGGTGCTCTTTGCTGGAGGTGTTGTTTTTCTTGCTCCACAGTCCACCTTAAAATACTCCAACTCTTCTGCTGAATTTGAGGCAGGACACACAGGCCACAGCTTTCACTTTTTTCATTCTATAAAAACTTGTGTTTGAAATTGCTATGTTTTGGCTGGAGAAAATGTTGTCCCTGCAAAGCATCTTCACACTAGGAGTTCATTCAGTGTAAACTTGGGTATAGACTTGCCTTTGCTATCCATCTACAATTGTCTACAAATGGTAGATTCATTTTAAAGAGAGCGACGTAACATCAACCAAAAATACAGAAAAAACACATCACATAAAAGTTCTAAACTGATTAGTATGTAATTGAGTATTTGATCCCCAAGCAAAACATGACTTAGTTCCTGTCTTGTTGTTTCATGGAGTTGGTTTGCACACATCTCAGGAGGGACTTTGGCCAGAAACTCTCTAAAGTCTTTAGGCTTCTTGGGAACTTTTCTATAGGACTTTATTCTGTCTCTCTCCATTAAATTGAATTATATCAGTACATATCAGTACACTGCACTCCATATTTTCAGCACTGTGCAGTAAGTGTGCTTGTCCTGGTCAGGTCTATGCTGCAGGCTTACCTTGTATCACATCTGCAGGACGGGCACTGTGCCTTCTGTTATTAGTAGTATGCCCCATCCTGTCCCTCCTTACTGATGCTGCAAGCGTGTTTCTGTTTCTGTTCAGTAGCCTAGAACAGTAGCTCTTTATGAAGTATCACCTTAAGTAAGTGCCTTACTTGTTAGAGCATTTCCTTAAAGCCAGAATGATCAAAAACGTTCAGTGTTTTAGTTCAAAGTTTGAACGAGGCAATTCTAAAAGTAACAAACTTCCCATTATCGGTCTGTAGGCACCGTGACATCCTCCTGTGCTGCTAAAGGTTTTTAATTTGGTCTATATCATAACCAGAGCAGGAGAAAGACCAGAAGAGCCGAGAGCTATTAATCTCCTGGGGTGAACTTTCACTGCTGCTCGAAACATCGGTTTCCTTTCTCTCTTTTGCACGCAAACACACAGACACGCACACACTCACGCGCTCTCAGCTGGGCATGATGGATGTCCCTTCTTCCCTTTGCTTTCCCATCATCACACACAGTGTGTGCAGCAAAGAGGGGAATGGAGCAAACACTACTTACTGATCACATTTTCACCTACCACTTTCCCCACCTTCATCCTTGCTCTCTCCTCCCTCCTCCAGTTGTTTTCCACCTTCCACACCATCATCTATGCTTGATGGGCCCTAACGTACCGATTCACTCCCACCTCAATAAATACACCCAAATTAGTTTTATTGATTGATGCACTCTATTGTGACTCTACACTCGTCAGCAAGCAAACAACAATTCCTTCTCTGGATTTATCCTGCTTCTATACTTCTATAACATCTCCATTTCTTTTCAGTCAGTCAGCCATGTCCCTGCACCGACTCATCTCTCCCCCTCGAGTTCTCTCACTTCTTTTACCGCTAGTGCACTCTGAAAATGTGTATCAGTCCTCCATTTATGACGATGAACAAGCATAGTAATAAATGGCATCAAAACAGTGTACTTAAAAATAGAGCTGGGCGATATATCGAGTTTTTAAAAAATATCGATATATTTTTATACGAGATATAAGATGTGACAATATCCTTTATATCGATATAGTCTGTGTTACGTTATAATTATACTTGTGGAGCCGGAAGTTTGCCTCTCTTTCGTCCACTTTTGTCTTTACGCAACATTACTCGGCCTCGCCTCTCCTTCACTGAACACAACTCCCCCTCCTCCCCCATCGCTTCACCTGCAGGAAGCGACAAGATGGACACGGCAAATCTCTGTTAACGAGTTACTGCGCATTGCCCCGTGCGTGGGGCTGGACGCCGTCAACGTGTTAGCTAGCTAACCACGCTAACGAGCTAACCACGCTAACGCCATGCAGCCCAGAGGCTGAGTAAATTTTATGTACATCTATGCTCTATGTTAATAAAAGTGCCTGTGTGACATCTGGGACACAGCTTTGACTAAGAACTCTCTTTTTGTTCTTACTTTATGGCTTTAAAAAAAACATCGAGATATATATCTTATATCGCCGTCCAGGTAAAAAATATCGAGATATGAATTTTGGGTCATATCGCCCAGCCCTACTTAAAAACTCATCCCACTGCTAAAAGTTGGCTCACTGCAAGTCTAGAAATACGCAACCATATTGGGAATCAACAGACAAGATATGACTGTCACTTACAAGGCAGCGATAACTGAGCTGAGACCCCTTTGGTGTGTGTGTGTGTGTGTTTGCATTTATTTTGGGAGTGAAATAAGAACTTCTGGATCTTGTTTACCTTCCAGGTAAAGCCTCCCACTAACTCTATTAGGAAATAAAGAAAAAGCGTGCTGTGTATGTCCATATATACTTAAAAAGAGTTCAGCATTCTTCACATTTATTTAAGAAACTTTAAGCAAACTGATTTCAAATTAACCCCAACCCTAAACCAAAATTAAGACATACACTGAGACATTTAATCTAACCAAGGACATTAACCAAGACAGAAACCCTACGCATGAACATATTTTACCAGTCACTTGGTTAGATACGTCTGTTCAACTTCTTCCAACTGCCAATCACATGGGAGGAGTTCAGAGTATTTAAACATGTAGATGGGGCCAAGAAACAACTCTAACCTTGAGACAGATGGGCTACAGCAGCAGAAGACCACACAGGGTGTCAGCTAAGAACAGGAAACTGAGCCTACAGCGTACACAGGCTCACCAAAATTGGACAACACAAGATTAGAATAATGATCCCTGATCTGATGAGTCTTAATTTCTGCTGCTACATTCGGATTGTAAAGTCAGAATTTGGCATGAATAAAATGAAAGCAAGAATCCATCCTGCCTTATATAAACAGTTCAGTCTGGTGGTGATGAAATAGTGCAGGGGAAATGTCTTGGCATTCTTTGGTCCCTACCCTCTACTAACTTATGAGTATTGCTGGTGACCATATCCCTTTACGACCACAGTGTACTCATCTTCTGATGGCTGCTTCCAGCAGCATAATTCTCCATACCATGCCACTCAAATAATCTCAAACTGGTTTCTTGAACATGACAGGGAGTTCAGCATACAAAAATGGCTTCCACGGTCACCAGACCAAAAAAGGACCTTTGGGATGTGGTAGCACAAGAGATTCACATCTAACTGTTTGATGCCTTCATGCCAACATGGACCAAAATCGTAGGAATGTTTCCAGCTCCAACCCTTAGTGGCAAGGTGTACCTAATAAACTGTTCAGCATATATTCCAATAGGTATACAGCTAGAGCAGAAAATATATCCCTGTATGATGATATAGTCTAATGATGAATTATTACATTAGCATAAACTAAAATTTGCCCAAAAGGTTGGAAACGAAACAAAACACTGCACACTTTCAAAAATGCATATTACAGAAACAGCTGTATGCACCAGACCAGAGCTCTGGCATTACCGCCTGGTCTGATTCTTTGCATTTGAATCTCAATTCTCAACTGCTGTACCTCAAAGACAGTGAGGGCAAATGGATGGCCCAGGTGGTGATGCGAGGAGAGCAGCACTTTGCGGTTGTCACCATTGAAATCCACGCTGGACAGCAGGTGCAGCTTGGAGTCCACCCAGTAAAGTCGTCTGTTGGACAAGTCTGAGAACATGCAGGGAAGGGGGAGAGCGAGAGAGAACAAAATCAAGAGGGGGTAGGGGAGAAGGTGAATGGAAAGAGAGAGGTCACTCAAAGTGAAACGGCCTAGGGTGAGGGGTATATGGATGTAATGGCCCACTAGCTACACAATCAATCTTCTTTGACATGACGACCTCAGCCCCGTACTAAGAAAACACAGATGTGATTGTAATATTGCCGCTTGACTTCTTTGCTGGAGAAAATATATGTGCCCTTGAACAGATTCATTAGTCTTGCTGGACCTATTTTAAAGACAAACTTTGCTGTTTCGCAAATCTCAAATAACTCCACATTTCAGCCACTGTTATATTATTTATATTAGGCCCAAATCATTGTTGTGTCCTTGCTACGAGCGGCAAAGTGTTGTGGTGTTTACTTTGAAATCAAAACACCACATTGAATTTAAACAGCAAAGGAAATAATCCCTGTATTACTCTTTTTTTTTTCCACCAGACTCTAAGATTATGCTTTTAAGAAAAACATTTAAAAAACAGAAAGCAAGAATTGAATTAGTAAATAATTAAGAATTAAGCTTTTGTGTGCAATAAGCAATTCGAAATTGGTAAAACACTGGAAGTATATTAAAAAAAGCATCCAATAAAAGCACCAAAGTAAACTGAAGGAGGAAGAGAATTAACACGATTCTCGGTGCCCATTCACCTCTCCTGACTCAATCACCTGTTCGGTGGTCTCTATGAAATCAATGACCAGGGGAACACAATTCACCCTTTCTCCCACAGCTGCCTGGCGCCAAGCCTCTCATTCGCCTTATTCCAAAAAATAATTTGTTTTCATACAGATGCGGCGACACCTCAATTCCACAGAGTGTGGCGACTGTGTGCTTCTATTTCTCCTCAGGCAAGGGCAGCTGAGAGGAATTGGCTGGTGCTTCGGAGGGAGTTGAAAGGGATGAGGGGAGGTATCGACAGCACAGAGCGTCTGGCTTATTAATTCGGAGCCTCATACTCACTGGCTTGATTGATGAGAGCCAGACACAAACTGAGGTATATAACAATAAGAGCTACTTGGGTTTCAGCACCCATAGACTATTTTCTTCTCTCAACTTGTGCTGTTTGTCTCTCTCTGGCTTTCCTCCATGTGTTGTTTTTTTTCTTTGTGTTGAATTCACTCGAGACATTTTTTTCTCTCTCTCTCTAAAAGCAATGTCAGCATAATAACTGTTTTTTTTAAACAAAACTGCTGTCAGAGCTGATTGATTTTTCTATCTGGGCATCATCTTCTAGCTTTTCAGCCTTCTTCCGTGGGCTTTGCATGTTCAAAGATACATGTTTTTTTCCTTACCTAGAGTTATTCCATTGGGCCATTCAATGTGTTCAGACACCAAAATTTGTCTATCCACTCCATTCATCCCAGCCTTCTCAATTTTGGCCTGACCTCCCCAGTCTGACCAGTACATAAACCTGCAGGAAGATACACAAGTTAGATTAAATTGAAGCAGCAACCTCGGAGGCTGAGAAATCAAGCCAACGTGACCTGCCTGCATTCTCTCTGAGGGCCACCAAATGGCGATAGCTGTGGTTGTAAAAGACACCTGAAGTCTTACAGAAAGCTACGAGAAATGGCTTTCTGATTTTACTCATTTGTTTTGGGTCATACTGAATAAAATATCAACTGAAATATTTTGTAACCATGTTACAAAATGATATAAAAACCGCACACTTGATGGCTAATAGCTGTCCATCAGAAGTCATTAGCTAATGATTGTGCAGTTTCACACTTGACTTCTTGTCAACTCAGGTTTTTTGCCAACCAAGCTGGTGATGGCAAAAGCTTCAATACAATATGAAACTTCAGAAACCAATATGTGGCTATCTGTGGCTGAGTGCCTAGCTTTAGAGCAAGGGTGAAAAAAGTTTCTAGCTTGGTATAAAAAATAATTTTCCACCTTTGTGACATCTTTACATTTCATCCCTTTATAGGGGCTTAAAGTATTAAGACTTAAAATTGTGAATTATTAGTGCTGTGGAGCGTGACGGACACTCGGATGCAGGCGGTTGTAGCACCAACTTACGGCAAGGCTTCAACTTCCGCTACTTCAAGTCATCAAACTGGACCTTTTTGTTTCTGCGTTTGTGACCTTTTGAACTTTTAATACAATCATCTAACAAATAATATGGCTTCCTGTGTGCTCTACTTTTGGTGAGTGAAAGTTAGTATTTTATTTGTCTGTTACTTAATAACTAGCAGCCTATCTGTGTGTCTAGCTAGCATTAGCTGCTAACTTAACATACAGCTTATCACCCAAATAAAGTCCAAAACCAGTGAGAGATGCCATTGTGGCCAAGTTCATCTTTATATACATGTTGTATCATTAAGGCACGGCCAGTTCAGTGTCAGAAATAAAAGGAGTAACTTTGCTAGGACCAGTGAAGAGAGGTTAATATGCAATGTCAATTGTTCTGGAAAACTCTTAACTGACAAAATCAACTGTACTCCGTCACACGATGTTCCACAGACATCTTCTCTCATTTTCTTTGCAAAATGACTGTATTATTAGTAAGACAGGCATTGAAAACATAAAAGGGAAAGCACTGTGCAAAACAGCAGGTACTGGAAACTTGGACCTTATCTGAATATGTGTGTCCATGATAAAACTGTGAAATCGTGGCTTCATTTGCATGTATTTCATGCTAGTCTAGCTTTGTAGAGCTGTGAAAAGACGTCTTTGGGGAGCTCAAGGCACCCGAGACAAATGGAAAGAGTTAGAAAGGGAAGACAAAGTGTTACATCCCATCTCAAGAAAACTGTTAAACTGCTTAATCTAACAGATGGGCTCAGCGCTACAAATAGCCTTACTTTGGTGCAATACTTTAGGCCAACTTCTACACCCAATCTCTTTCTACTATAACAATACTGGCTTTTACAGACACACACACACACACAATGACAGTAGGACCTCTTACTCCCCCTCCCTCCTTCCTGCCTTTTTGCTCAACTCCTTTGCAATCTTTTGCTCCTTTGTGAATCTTTCCAAAATCCTTTTACCCTAAAACTAACCCAACTCACCCTTGGTGCGGATCCACAGCGATGGCTCGTGGCTCGTTCAGCTCGGTGGTTATGAGCATTTTCCTTTTCCTGCCATCTCCCGTAGCGACAGATATGCTCTTATTGCCTGAGTCCGTCCAGTAGATGTTCTTGTGGACCCAGTCGACAGCAAGGCCCTCCGGGGAGTGGAGCGAATCGATGAGCGTCACCTGCTGTGATGAGTCACTGGCCTTGTTGATGTAAGCGCTGGTGGGCGGATGGAAAGGAAATGTATCGGTAAGTAATCTGGAAATTATAAAAGCCTAATCCATCACAGAGGTGCTGGCACGATAGATTTACTACCGTCTGGCTTCCTTTCCTTGGGAGGAATGACTTGATTGTGAGTGGCTTAGATATCTTGTTGGGAACATAGTTTCGTCACTCTATTCAGGTGTGAGGGGCACCCAATCCTGACACCTTTATAACAACTTCAGCCTTCACACCAAACACAGCCTCCCAGGGAGAATGAGTCTGTCTTTTTCTATCAGCACCACATGCCTATATCTCCCCTTTAACCGAGTGTCCCTTTCTTGTCTTCAGTTTCTTTGATTTTCCTCCTCCTTCCACTTACTCTGTCAACTCTTCTATCCCCATTCCCCACTGACATCTCCTTTACTGGTGAAAATTGTTAAAACTTAATAGATTACTGCCTCGACAATATATGAATGCAAGAGCAAGATGGAAGAAAAAATGCTTGATAAAAGGTTGGGACAAGCAATGTCCTAAGTTGCACAGTGCCTTCACATTTTAGCAACGCCTACAGGAGTCAGAGGAGACGGGAGGTGCATCTTAACTAAAGAAGAAGGTTGACTGGTAGTCAGAGCGAGGGATGAGGTGGAGATGCTCACTGTTACATTTTGCCAACCCAAATATCTTCATCTTTACAGTCAGGTGAGTGTGAGATGTTATTGTGTGAGTGTGATAGATAATCAATGGATTCTCAAGAGTGCCTCAGGGTTTGTAACATGGATCCAACACCACACTGTTTCACCTTCGAGGTTAAATTAAGACGGCTCAAGCATTGTGGACATGAAGGAAACCCATCGTGTTATTGATGCAGCATGCATCTACTGAACTCGAAACTCGAAACTCTACTGAAAACGCCAGAACAAAAATTACATTTGACACAAATTCAATTTGAAACAATTTTCTTTTACATTACATTCTGTTCTTTGATACTGAGTAATCGCGAGTTCCACTAAAACATATTTTCTGTTTAATCTCTTGTTCAATTTCTCCAATATTGAATTTTTACGAACACAGCGGATCTAAAAATTCAACACGTCAGGTTTTCATGATGTATAAAAATGAAGAAAATGAGATCAAGGTAAACGATTTAAGAAAATCATTTCCACCTTTAAAGTTTAACCTGCACAATTCACAGTCACTCTTCAATTCTATTTGGGTGGGGGACAATCACTGAAAAACTTACAATTACCTGGCTGCACAAATGTGCACAGCCTTAGACCAAAATACTGTTAAAGAACTTTTTTGATTTTACTACACCGTTCAGTCTTTTTGGTCAGGAGTTTGCTGCAGCATTGTGTCTCTTGATTTGGCAATACTTTGCAAAAGTGCCACAAATCATCGTCAGGTCACCCCACAGGTTTTGATTTGGATTCAGGTCTAAGTCTCTCCAAAACTTTAATCATCTTTTGAAGACATTCTTTTGTAGAATTTGATAATTTGGGTCATTGTTGTGCTAAAGGGTGAAATTCCTCATCATTTTCGTCTAGCAGCTGCTTTAAGTTTTTGTGCCAAATTGGTATCAGTATTGGAACTGTTCATATTTCTGTCCATTTTAAGTAAAACACAATGTATTTTATGGTATATTTAAAAGCTTGGAAATTCTTGTGTACCCTTCTCCTGACTGATACCTTTAAATCATGAGATCTCTTTAACGCTTTATAAGCTCTTTCTGGACCATGGCTTTTAATTTATGTATGTCACATTAAAAATGGACAAAGTTCTGAAGTCATCTTTCTTGGGCTCATATTTTCTTAACATCACAAATCCCGATATTTTGACTGTGCTATGAAGATTTTTATATCCACTTTATATTCTTTTACTCACTTCTAATTTCACTATGTCCTTAATTTGAGTTAGAAAATCTTCACATACACTTGGGTTGAACAGGTTGGTGGGCTGAACAAAGGCTTCAGGCACAGTGAAGAATAAGACAGAGACAGATGAGTCCAAGTCCACTGAGCAGATTGCATGTTTAATTGGTTGAACCATTGTTTGCAACAGACATCTCCATCATTGGGAGAAGGTAACAAGTCATCGACCCGTGGCATGCTAATCACTATGAATTAGTCTGGAAAACCAGATTATCACATTGAGGGTGAATGAGTAGTGCAGCCTTTAATAAACAGCAGGAAAGCTTGATGCTCTGATGCTATGCACTTGGGTGCAAGTGCAGAAGGTTTTGCTTTGAAAGATTAGAGAAAAGAAAACACCATCAAGGACAACGCCAAGTAGATTAAGCTGTATAACTTCCCTCATTGTTTGCTACTTAAAGCAACTTTTGATATGTGAGTTTATTTACGGCATCGAAAAATAGACTTCGCTGTGAAAAATGAGTTCATTTGTCCGTTCCCTGTCACAAGCCCTTGACTGCGTTACCAAGTTTGTGTGGGAGAATGTCTGCGCGTGAATGTGTGTGCAGGGAGATGAATAATGGCAGCGATTATTGAGGCAGTGAAATTAGTGAGAGCATATGGCTCAGCTGAGATGATAGAAAGCCCCTCCCACAACCTGTCAGCCATCAGGGTGACACAAACACACACACAAATGTATGTGCAAAGCTATGATATGTGCACACACACAGACTCACACAGTGTGTGTGAAGGACAAACAGGTGCGGCTGACTCACTACCAGAAGGTGTGACAGGTTGAAGCACACAAGATGGATGGATAGAGGAGAAAGATAATGAACATGTTGGCTGAAGAATGACAAAAGTGAGTTATCTAACTTTAAGGTCCTGCGTCTATACAGTGGCTTTCATCGTTTTATATGGGCTTCCTCTGCCTTTATAGACAGAATATATACACATCATTTACAGCAATTCAATAACTGTACTAAAATATACAATTATAGATCATTTTTCTGTCGATTAAACAGATCCAGCAAAATCTAGTGGGTTAGTGACGCAGTGAGTTTTCAGTTCTGTGTAGCAGTACCTGATAGGGTTAAATAAATAATAAAAAAAAATATATATATATATATATAACTTGTCATTGTGTGTGCGTGCTGTATGTGTGCGTACCTGTATATTTTCTGATGATACAGATCACACCAGAACATCTTGTTGGTGGACACGTCCACATCCAGGGCCACGGCATTCTTCAGTGTAGGGACCACTTGTGTGTACTCACTCTTCAGCAGGTGAATACGACGGATTTCATGACGGTTAGTGAACAGCAGGTACGGACTCTTTCCTGGTGGAAAAGGAAAGATGTTTATGTTACCATCAATGAAACCACTGGACAGAGAAGTTATACGGAACAGCTCATCTGCCCTGTAACCCACTGCTGTGACTCTAAATTAGGAACCTACCAAATATGGGCCGTTTGCACTGCTTTTGCTCTTGGTATGTCACAGGGAAATATTTGTTACCCTTGCATAATACCTGTACAAGAAAGCTGAACTTGTGAATCTGTACTGTTATAGGCATTTGCAGCTAGACTACTGACTAGAACTGAAAGTATGAGCACATCACTCCAGTCCTGGCCTCTCTGCATTGGCATCGTGCCTCATTTTAGAATTCAGTTTATGGTTGTTTGATCAAGGCTCTTAATGGGCGGCCCCTAGCTTGTATTACCAGTCTTATTCATTTCTATTCACCAATATTTCCCAATCTCACAGACCCACTGGTGAAGGCCTCTTACTGTACATGTCTCAAGGTCATGCCTCAAGCAAAGAGGTGACAGAGCCTTTGCAGTCGTTGCTCCACAGTTTTCAAATCTACACAATCACGTGAAAGCCGAAGTTCTGATAGGACTCTATGCAGTCCTCTGAAAAACTAAGTACTCTTCATGATTCAGTAGCTTGTAGAATCACCTTCGCAATAACTTGAAACTACTGAAGAACTTTGGTTGACTGTTCACAACGTTGGTTCAGTTTATTGAGGTTTGGCAGGATGATGCATAACTCGGGTGTAGGTCTGGATGACATTAATTGGACCTTTGCAACACCTTCATTCTTTTCTTTTTCATTCTGTTATAGATTTGCTGCTGTGTTTGATATCATTGTCTTGTAGCATGACTGAATTTGGGTAAAGCTTTTGCAGTCAGTCAGATGGCCTCATATTTGATTCTAAAATACTTTGGTATACAGCATCGTGCTTGACAGTTGGTATGAAGTGTTTGTGTTGATTATGTCGTGTTTGGTTTTTGCCAAACGTGGGGCTGTGCATTATGGCCAAACATTTCCACTTTGTTCTCATCTGTCCACAGGACATGGTTCCAGAAGTCTTGTGGTTTCTGTCTTTCTTAAGAGAAGAGGCTATTGCCACACTTGTTCAATCTTTTTGTGGCATCATGAACTGTCATGAACTTTGACATTTAACACCCTAACAGGGGTTTTTAGAGTCTGAGATGTAGCTCTTGGGGTTTTAAGCAATTTCTCTGGGCATTGCATGGCCTGACCTTAACAGGAATTTATTGGGACGCCCATTCCTGGGAACATTGTGGCATTTTGTTAACACACATACACATAAAATAGGCTGTTCTAGTGTTTCCCTTTGCTATTCTTCACCAGTCTAATAACCTACATACTGTTGTGTACAAAGATACCATGGGTAGTGCTGAGTGTTTAGCCTTATTCCCAAAAGGGAACATAATGTAAGCCAACTGTACTCTTGTTTTGCATTTGTACTATTTAGGTCCTTAAAGCATGTATTTTTGATGATGTGAACATAAATTATGTATCCAAACAACCCCTTTAAATTAATAATGTTTCCCATCTACACATAGATTTTAGAGTTTTAGAGTTTTTCACACAATTATGCACAACAGGAAAAATGATGTATGTGGTATGATTCGGTCCACATGGAAAATGCACACCCCTTTTTAAAGACTATTGTTTTGGAATAAACATGCAAGTGTGGTGTCCTACTGTTGGAAAAAGTTACATTACTCGTGTTAGTGAAGTGACCCAACAAGAGCTATGCCACAGTCTATTTTAAGTACAACAGTGCATTGCTGGGTTCTCTTTTTCAGGGGCATTCAGGATGTGGCGTTCGCTGGCACATTAGTTACCTGGTAGGGGACACACTTCAGCTGACTGAAGGTGAGGATGAATTTGAATGAATGATTTGAATAATTCTAGGTAGGTGACAAAGTCAACTCTAGCACACAGAGATACCTTAGTTTGTGAGCATGGGACTTGCTGTGACATCTATACTTTTGTCATCAAGCACTTTCAACCTAAAATACAAGAAATGTAGTCCTGGACTCTCACTACAGTGCAGCTAATAATACATCAATGTTTTTTATTTAATTTAGCAGCACTGGTTTGTCCTGGATTGCCACTCCCATTACATTTTCCAGCACGTTTTTTCACATTTGTTCTCTGTCCTAGCGGTCACGTCATCTTTATTCTCCACTGTCCACAAAAATCAAAACACTGCCACATAAAGCATTCAAACAAGACAAAGCCGGCCGGCAGCAACGTTCGAGTGTGCACAGACAGCACAAACTCCTACTTTCACACAGACTCAACCGTGCTTTGACAGATTTCCTCAACCCTGGTTTATTACAGGCCACTGCACAAGGAGAAAATATTACAGTTCTACTACTGCTAGGATCCAATCATTTTTCTCTTACTACTGGGTTTGTAATCATCAATTTCCCCTGCTGAGAGGGCGAGCGAGCGAGAAAGCGAGAGAGAGACAAAGGAACAGACAAGCGCAAGTAAATCTGAGAAATCCAGGTAAAGTCAGGGAGAAATGATCATTAAGAGGATGTAATTAAGGAAGGACGAAGGAAAAAGCCATCAACAAAACAAGTGAAAACATGGGAAAGTGGGAAAGAGAGAAAAGTAAGAACATTTTGAAGCCTGTATAATGAGAACATGGATAACTCCGACATGTCTTTCATCAATCCCCACAGACTCACTTTTTCACGACAATATCTCTTATCCCTCATCGGTGTTGTCACAGCAATATGTCCTTCTGAAGTTTATTTTTTTTAAAAAGAAAAAAAGAAGCTGAGTCACTGTTTTCCAAAAAGGCCCCAGCACTACAGATGTCATCAAAAAGTGCAAGATTATCTCTTCTACAAGATACTGCAAAGCTACAGTCAGCTATCTGAACAGCAACATGGTTCCGTAAATATATTTTAATCTGCAGTGCTCGTTCAGGGCCGCTCTGCCCCATCAGCCAATTAAGATAAAGCTGCAAAAGGATAAGTGCAGCCTGGGAAACACTGTTAGATGCTGCAGGAGCACTGATTTCCAGGTGTTTATGTTGTGAGCTTCACAAAGTAAGAGGTAAATAAAAAAAGAAATCCAAAAAAAAGAGACAGACAGAAAGGTCAGAAATAATGGTGAGAAATTCTGCAAGCTGACAGCGATGTTTAGCTGCAGCCTTTGTGAACTGGCCAGCACTAGAGGAGGTAAATAGGATGATGGTATGTCTGGAAAAATGCACGCACATCAAGGTCAGAAGTGCTTGTTAAGACTTGTTGTTAAGACTTACAAACCGTGCTATATAATGACGAACAGATGCGACAGCGGAGAACAGAAATGAACTTCCCATCGACAGCTGTGTCAAAAGTCATTCAACTTTCCTGTCATTCGTTAACACAAAGCAGCTTACATAACACTTCGTTATTCTTGTGGTTAAAGGCCACATGTGCTTATATTTTATATTTTACTTATATTTTATATAGAGATGGACCGATCCGATATTAGTATCGGTCCGATACTGACCTAAATTACTGGATCGGATATCAGAGAGAAATAAAAAATGTAATCCGATCCATTAAATATAAAAAAAAAACACCTCACAAAACATAGACACGGCGTAACTCGGCTCATAACCGTAGCACGGCGGAGCAGTGTGGTCACGTGATAGAGCGGCTGTGTGTATTTGTAGCCTGCTAGCAAACTTTTCATCTCCGAGGAAGTTATCTCAGAGAGAAGTAAAGCAAGTGTGTAAGTTCATCTCTGAATGTTTGTAAAGCATTCCC